ACCCAACCGGCCAACCCCAAACAAACCAAAAAGAAAAAAAAAAGACCTTAGTCTATTTGTATATAGCATGTAGGTTTACCTCTCCTTCTTCGAGTTACATCAGATGACAAACAAGAGATTCAGAATCAGAGCTACTTGGTCACTTCAAACTCGGACAGCTTGGTGTTCGACCCAACCGATCTTTCATCTGAACCTAGCCCTTTGTTTGAACCCAGTTGGGTCCAAGTTAAATAGTTTGGTCACCGGCAACTCAAGTGCTCGCTACTCTAGATGCAGCCTTTTATAAAAGGAGTAGATCATCAGTATACGTCTCAAGTTCTTGTCGCTTAGAATTTTCAGAAGTTACCAAACGAATGAAACCACCTGTTCGCATTTGAAATATGCCTCGCCTGAATCCAGCAATAATGTCGCCTAATTTTATTTATTATTTATTTCCTTTTTCTCAAGGAATATTTCACCCTCTTCCTCCAGGCCCGTAAACGTAAATAGTAATGATTTCACAGCCCATTGGGCGTAGCTCAAACTTCCAACTCGAAAAAGGGTAATTCCACAAACAAGGCAAGGGCATAATGGTCAATTCGATTGGTCACCACTGCAGAGTTCGTAAGAGTAGGGTTCTGCTCTCTCTTTGCAGTGTTATTGTAGTCTCGCTCTCAACCCCCATTTCCGCCTCCTCCCTCTCTCTCTCTCTCTCTCTCTCCACCCCCCCAACCCATCCAAAGACAGAGGAACTCGACTCTCTCGCCCCGCTGCCCATTTTCAGGTAATCTCTGGCTCTCCCTCTCTTCGAATCACCAAGAGTTTTACTTAATATAGCACTACTCTGTTCGTCAACTGAATCGGTTACATAACCTCTTGGATGTTTTATGCAATATTTAAAACCCTAACCTGTTCATTTCCTTAGATCTGATGTTCTCATCAGCTAAATTTTGGTCAACGGATATGTTTACTGTTATCCCTGTCACTTTATCAGTTGTTACGAAATTGCATTATTTATCCTTTTCTAGTTAAGATCATCAATAGCGTTCGATTGTTTGAACGGCTTGGCTCGTTTTTTCTGCTAGTTTGATGTAACATCAAATTCTGTGCTATTGTATATGTTTTTGGACCTGATTTTGTGTGTTTCTACACGCGCTTTAAGATTCATCATAACGTTGTATATTAATTATTAATTTCGTATGTGAATGATAGAATGTTGCGTTCTTCTTCGATATGGCGTTGCGGATCTGTGTCTCACTTGTTTTAGAACTTAGTTTGGATATCCTTATTCTTTAGTCTTTGACCAAGTCTTGAATGGTGAAGTAAGGAAATGCTGCACGCCTTAAAGTTAGGTCTTATGATTGGACTTTGACTACGTGTGATCTTATTGGGAATGCTAACAAAGGCCTAGCTTTCTCTGACCGGTGAACTATAATCAAAATATTCACAGCTGGCGAAGAAAGAAGCCTCGAGGTCACAACTATGTTAAATTTGTTCGTTTTCCCGTGGTCATGGCTGTGCTAAATTTTGTGCATTTTCCCTAGCGGTAGGCTTGGATTAAGTCAAATGGGGTGCGAGTGATGGAAAATCCCAAGTTGACTTTTTTTTTTCCTTTGCTTTCACCTTTGATTGTACACTGTGCCATACTGCTCTAGAGCTTTTGCTTGACCATGCTCTGTGTCATTCATGTAAACCTTACTCTTGGTAAGACATGAAGTTCTCTAAGTCTAAGGAGCTGGCATGTACATCACACAAGTTGGAGGTGAAAATATGTGATGTTAAATTACATTTTCATGCTTTGGCGGCATGTTCCTTTTAAATCCTTTAGTATTTATACCCGTATAGAAAAGATGTGTGCGCTTTTTTTAAGGGTAATTTCTTCCTTTTTTAGCTAAGAGGGCCAAGAGCAAGGCTCAGGTGAAATGTCCTTTTATGATGCTTGGCTCAGGTGAAATGTCCTTTTATGATGCTATCCTTGTTAACTGATACTTATATGTTGATGAGAATTGGGATGTCTTATCTATTTAGATATATCTTGCTAAATGTGTACTTGTTGCATGTGTTATCCTGATCACTTCGTCTTTCTTCGAACCCGGTATATTCACGAGGAAAGGTTGATATGGTGATATTAGTACATACGTTTGATCTGACTGGACTAATTTCAATATTAGCTTTCATTAAAGTGTTCAAGTTGTAGTTTGCAATGTCTAAATACTATTCAAAGCCAGTAATAGCATGCGAGAACCATAAACTTTGTTGCCTGTAAAGATCTATGTCTATCCAGGTTAATAAACTCATCATGACCAAGGATTAGGAGGGTGTTTTGGAGGGCTTATGTTTTGAAGCTTTTAAACCAGTCTGGCTTTTGGTGGCTTATGGCTTTTATGATGAAAATGTTATATAAATTGTTTGGGTTAAAATTGTCATTTGCTTGGTCAAAGCTAGCTTATTTAGATGAGCTTATAAGCTAGTTTTTCAAAAAGTTAGGGAACCCCTACTGTTTTAAATGAGCCTAAAAGCTAGCTTACATGGGATGTTATCAGATACATAGATATGGAAAAGCTAGCTTATAAGCTACTTTGACAAAAAAAGTAAGCTTACCCAAACACCCTCTAGGTTTGATTTTTAGCACATTAATGTATGTCAGTGTCTATCATCCAAATATCTACTCATTTATTTCCTAGTTTGATATTTTTAACTCCCATGTAAAGTTAATGACTAGCTTGCATAGAAGATGCTTCAGATGGTTTGCATTCTGCTTAATTCTAGAATGATAAAGTTTAATTACCTGATATTTTCGCATTAAAGTTCTTGGGTACAGTCATTACTTTTGTTTGTTAACAATCTTCAACTGCTGGTCTTGTACAGGTCAGCTTAGTGGTGGGAGAAAATGGCAGAGGAGTGGCATCATCCATCTGTAATTCAAAAGATCTATGGGCAGTCTCAGTCCCCTAAACTATCTCCCTACTCCCAAGCAAGGAACAATAGCATACACAACTTTCAAGGCTCTTTCTCCAATCGCAGCCTTCAAGGGATACTGCTGCAATCATGCCATGGCAATAACGGAGTAGTTACTCTTTCCTCCCTTTCACCAATTTCCCCTGTCAATGCTTATGCTCCCAAGGAAAAAGGTGTTGCTGGCTTTCTCACAGATTTTATGATGGGAGGAGTTTCTGCTGCTGTTTCAAAAACAGCAGCTGCTCCAATTGAAAGGGTTAAGCTCTTGATACAGAACCAGGATGAAATGATAAAGGCTGGTAGGCTCTCAGAGCCCTACAAAGGAATTGGAGACTGTTTTGGCCGAACAATCAAGGATGAAGGGTTCCTTTCATTGTGGAGAGGAAATACTGCCAATGTCATCCGTTATTTTCCCACCCAGGTAATTGACTTCTGTTATATTATTATCCTATTTTGATCTTTCGGTTTATACTGTGTTCTTGATAATTTGATTTTCTATTGTGTTCCAGGCTCTTAACTTTGCTTTTAAGGATTACTTCAAGAAAATGTTTAACTTCAAAAAAGATAGGGATGGTTATTGGAAGTGGTTTGCTGGTAATTTGGCATCTGGAGGTGCAGCTGGTGCGTCTTCTCTACTGTTTGTGTATTCTCTTGATTATGCCAGGACCCGACTAGCTAATGATGCAAAGGCTGCGAAGAAGGGAGGTGAAAGGCAATTCAATGGTCTAGTTGATGTTTACAGGAAAACCCTAAAATCTGATGGCATTGCTGGATTATACCGGGGCTTTAACATTTCTTGTGTTGGCATCATTGTCTATCGAGGACTCTACTTTGGGATGTATGATTCTCTGAAGCCAGTGCTTTTGGTTGGTTCCTTGCAGGTTAGTAAAGGAAAAGAAGATGGTAAACTACTCGCAAGAATTTGTCGGGGATAATACAAATATTGTTTTTGTCTCCCTCAACTTGCTTATATTTATCCTCGACCCAATGTTTCAGGCTATTAGCTTTCACTTGGCACAGTCCTGGACAATTTATGTTCACTAGTTTTTATTGCCTACCTATCCCCTAAATTCATTTTATACATCACCATAATCTCAAAGTTAGGATAAGAACATGTCGCGAGTTTCTGTTCGTATATAACCTAATGGCATTACGTTTTTGAAATTTTTGCTAATGGCATTGACATTTTAGATAAAAGGCTGAAACCACCTTTATTTATCTATTATCCTGCAAAGTTCATAATGTAATATAGAAGATACGTAAAGTACATAAGGGCAAAGTTGTCAAAAACATGTCATGTGCAAAACACGTGAGAACCTATCTTATGTGCCATCTGACATCACTGAATTGTGAGAACCTATCTTATGTGCCATCTGACATCACTGAATTGTGAAAAGGTTCACGATAGTTTTCTGTGATAAAGAAGTTTATGATGGTTTTGTCCAAACACCCAAAGTAGATTGTAGTGTGTTGATATTTACCCTCATGAAAGCACAAGTAAGTTGTATTTAACTAACCATAGATCTTTTACAAATGCTTTCTCCATTGTGTTCTCCGTTCGCATTGACCAAAATGGGGGACTTAGTTGTGGTAATGTTGCATGTAAAAGAAAAATCCACTAATGTTTGTACTCATATCACAGGATAATTTCTTTGCTAGTTTCTTGCTGGGATGGGGAATCACAATAGGTGCCGGTCTTGCTTCCTACCCTATCGATACTGTTCGTAGAAGGATGATGATGACATCTGGTGAGGCTGTTAAGTACAGCAGCTCAATGGCGGCATTCAAACAGATTGTTGCCAACGAAGGTGCCAAGTCTCTCTTCAAGGGTGCAGGTGCTAACATCTTGCGTGCTGTAGCAGGTGCTGGTGTCCTTGCTGGTTACGATAAAATGCAGGTTATATTCTTCGGTAAGAAATATGGATCTGGTGGAGGCTAATTCTGGGGTTTGTGATGATGATGATAAATCCAAGTATTGTGGTATCAGTTGAACTTTCTTTTTGTGGTTTTGTTTGAGAGCTCATTAATAGTGACACCTGTTGGCTTGAGAGGAACAATTATGCTGCAATGTGTTTGTATCTGGTTTTGTTTGGGCCTGATTGCTGTGGGTAATTGAAAACATATGTTGGTAAGGTTACAGTAAATCCTTGATTTGGTATGTTGCAATGGTGAATGTTTTTTATGCTTAAGAATGATTATGAATGAGTTTTTTTCTGAGGATGTATGCACATGATTGCTCTTGATACTTTTACTGATATTGTGAAACTCACAAGCTCCTTCATAATTATCTCGACCTGATCAGTTGGGTATCACTCACCTCCTAGTTACTTGCCTATGTATATTTTTGTACTTTCAAATGTCGACGTATTTTAGCAAAATAGCTGGTACATCTGGAAGTCAGATTGTGATCTCTTATCATTAGCCGATAGACAAGGAAATCTAAAAAACGACTCAGTTTACAAAAATAACTCGTTTCATTGCATTACTTTTTGGGAAAAATGTGTCCAGGCCCCCAAAATAGAAAGTTCATGTGACCTGTCCCCTTGTACTCTGACCCATGTATATAAGCCGCAAATACACACTGTATTTGTGTTAAGGCCCCAAAGTATCGGACCCTGAGAAAAGCTCAATAAAAGTTACGAATTTACCCTTTGATTTGATTGAGCTTGGTAACTGCGCTCATCCCTTTAACCCCATCCCATCTCTCTCTCTCTCTCTCTCTCTCTCTCTCTCTCTCTCTCTCTCTCTCAACTTCTCTTTCTCTCTCACTTCTGTCATGGCCACTGAAAATGATCAGGCCCTGGGGAGGCCGTGGAAGTCGAAGGCGAGGACGGTGGTCATGGAGTCGGAGGTCGGGGAGTCATCTTGGAATGGGATCTCCTTGGATTCTTGAACAGCAGTTTGGGTTTTCCTTTAATGCCTTTTTCTTGTGCGATTTGGTGATTGACATAGTTCTGTATAAGAGATTAACAACAGAAATTTTCAAAAGCTCAAATTGAATCTTTAGGCATATCGACATTTAGCTAAAAAATGAAGACAATGTGATTAAAAGTCGACTAAAGAATCTAAGAAGCTGTGAATTTGAAAGGGGGGACAAGGAAAATTAGAACTATGAATCTTGTCGCTGGCATCAACCTCAACCACGGCGACATCGCCGGGTACCTCCCCGAGGAGCTCGGCCTCCTGAGGGACCTGGCTCTCTTCATAAACTCCAACATCCCTCGACGGCAGCAACGAGCAGAAAACAGCAGCACCGTGCCGACTTCGCGCGCGTTTTTCAGCCACCTCCGATCTCCGTTTTTACCACCATCTTCGCCGATGTGTATCCCTTTATATTGTCTATCACTCGGCACCCTCCTCCCACCTTCGGCAAGCCTAGAAAGCGACGAAAAGCTCTGAACAGCGAAGAACAAACCCGAACGGTGAAAAGCTCCGAACAGCGAAGAACAAACCCAAACGGAGAGGTAAAAAATAAGCCCAAGTGAAAGGAAGATACCGTGTGATAGACAATATAAAGGGCTACACATCGGCGAAGACGATGGTAAAAACGGAGACCGGAGGTGGCCGGAAAACGCACGCGAAGTCGGCACGGCGCTGCTGCTTTCTGCTCGTTACTACCGTCAAGCGATGTTTCGGACGTTACCGAGAAAGATAGAGAATGAGTTAGAGCGTGATACAAATTGGAGGTGATAGGCAACATGTAGTGCTACTCACCAGAGAAGAAATCAGTGAAAACCCAGATCAGAGGTGATCGAAAAGTGCGTGTGAAATCATCACAAGACTGTAGTTTTCTGCTCGTTGTTCAATCACTATTCGGGCTTGTTCCTTGCTGTTCGGAGTCTTCCCTTGCTGTCCGAGCTTGTTTGAGGTGGGAGGAGATTACTAGGGCTGCTGGCTTAGCATCAGGGTTGTCGGTGAGGTGCTGAAGATAGTTAGCGTGAAGTTCTCTAAGTCTAAGGAGCTGGCATGTACATCACACAAGTTGGAGGTGAAAATATGTGATGTTAAATTACATTTTCATGCTTTGGCGGCATGTTCCTTTTAAATCCTTTAGTATTTATACCCGTATAGAAAAGATGTGTGCGCTTTTTTTAAGGGTAATTTCTTCCTTTTTTAGCTAAGAGGGCCAAGAGCAAGGCTCAGGTGAAATGTCCTTTTATGATGCTTGGCTCAGGTGAAATGTCCTTTTATGATGCTATCCTTGTTAACTGATACTTATATGTTGATGAGAATTGGGATGTCTTATCTATTTAGATATATCTTGCTAAATGTGTACTTGTTGCATGTGTTATCCTGATCACTTCGTCTTTCTTCGAACCCGGTATATTCACGAGGAAAGGTTGATATGGTGATATTAGTACATACGTTTGATCTGACTGGACTAATTTCAATATTAGCTTTCATTAAAGTGTTCAAGTTGTAGTTTGCAATGTCTAAATACTATTCAAAGCCAGTAATAGCATGCGAGAACCATAAACTTTGTTGCCTGTAAAGATCTATGTCTATCCAGGTTAATAAACTCATCATGACCAAGGATTAGGAGGGTGTTTTGGAGGGCTTATGTTTTGAAGCTTTTAAACCAGTCTGGCTTTTGGTGGCTTATGGCTTTTATGATGAAAATGTTATATAAATTGTTTGGGTTAAAATTGTCATTTGCTTGGTCAAAGCTAGCTTATTTAGATGAGCTTATAAGCTAGTTTTTCAAAAAGTTAGGGAACCCCTACTGTTTTAAATGAGCCTAAAAGCTAGCTTACATGGGATGTTATCAGATACATAGATATGGAAAAGCTAGCTTATAAGCTACTTTGACAAAAAAAGTAAGCTTACCCAAACACCCTCTAGGTTTGATTTTTAGCACATTAATGTATGTCAGTGTCTATCATCCAAATATCTACTCATTTATTTCCTAGTTTGATATTTTTAACTCCCATGTAAAGTTAATGACTAGCTTGCATAGAAGATGCTTCAGATGGTTTGCATTCTGCTTAATTCTAGAATGATAAAGTTTAATTACCTGATATTTTCGCATTAAAGTTCTTGGGTACAGTCATTACTTTTGTTTGTTAACAATCTTCAACTGCTGGTCTTGTACAGGTCAGCTTAGTGGTGGGAGAAAATGGCAGAGGAGTGGCATCATCCATCTGTAATTCAAAAGATCTATGGGCAGTCTCAGTCCCCTAAACTATCTCCCTACTCCCAAGCAAGGAACAATAGCATACACAACTTTCAAGGCTCTTTCTCCAATCGCAGCCTTCAAGGGATACTGCTGCAATCATGCCATGGCAATAACGGAGTAGTTACTCTTTCCTCCCTTTCACCAATTTCCCCTGTCAATGCTTATGCTCCCAAGGAAAAAGGTGTTGCTGGCTTTCTCACAGATTTTATGATGGGAGGAGTTTCTGCTGCTGTTTCAAAAACAGCAGCTGCTCCAATTGAAAGGGTTAAGCTCTTGATACAGAACCAGGATGAAATGATAAAGGCTGGTAGGCTCTCAGAGCCCTACAAAGGAATTGGAGACTGTTTTGGCCGAACAATCAAGGATGAAGGGTTCCTTTCATTGTGGAGAGGAAATACTGCCAATGTCATCCGTTATTTTCCCACCCAGGTAATTGACTTCTGTTATATTATTATCCTATTTTGATCTTTCGGTTTATACTGTGTTCTTGATAATTTGATTTTCTATTGTGTTCCAGGCTCTTAACTTTGCTTTTAAGGATTACTTCAAGAAAATGTTTAACTTCAAAAAAGATAGGGATGGTTATTGGAAGTGGTTTGCTGGTAATTTGGCATCTGGAGGTGCAGCTGGTGCGTCTTCTCTACTGTTTGTGTATTCTCTTGATTATGCCAGGACCCGACTAGCTAATGATGCAAAGGCTGCGAAGAAGGGAGGTGAAAGGCAATTCAATGGTCTAGTTGATGTTTACAGGAAAACCCTAAAATCTGATGGCATTGCTGGATTATACCGGGGCTTTAACATTTCTTGTGTTGGCATCATTGTCTATCGAGGACTCTACTTTGGGATGTATGATTCTCTGAAGCCAGTGCTTTTGGTTGGTTCCTTGCAGGTTAGTAAAGGAAAAGAAGATGGTAAACTACTCGCAAGAATTTGTCGGGGATAATACAAATATTGTTTTTGTCTCCCTCAACTTGCTTATATTTATCCTCGACCCAATGTTTCAGGCTATTAGCTTTCACTTGGCACAGTCCTGGACAATTTATGTTCACTAGTTTTTATTGCCTACCTATCCCCTAAATTCATTTTATACATCACCATAATCTCAAAGTTAGGATAAGAACATGTCGCGAGTTTCTGTTCGTATATAACCTAATGGCATTACGTTTTTGAAATTTTTGCTAATGGCATTGACATTTTAGATAAAAGGCTGAAACCACCTTTATTTATCTATTATCCTGCAAAGTTCATAATGTAATATAGAAGATACGTAAAGTACATAAGGGCAAAGTTGTCAAAAACATGTCATGTGCAAAACACGTGAGAACCTATCTTATGTGCCATCTGACATCACTGAATTGTGAAAAGGTTCACGATAGTTTTCTGTGATAAAGAAGTTTATGATGGTTTTGTCCAAACACCCAAAGTAGATTGTAGTGTGTTGATATTTACCCTCATGAAAGCACAAGTAAGTTGTATTTAACTAACCATAGATCTTTTACAAATGCTTTCTCCATTGTGTTCTCCGTTCGCATTGACCAAAATGGGGGACTTAGTTGTGGTAATGTTGCATGTAAAAGAAAAATCCACTAATGTTTGTACTCATATCACAGGATAATTTCTTTGCTAGTTTCTTGCTGGGATGGGGAATCACAATAGGTGCCGGTCTTGCTTCCTACCCTATCGATACTGTTCGTAGAAGGATGATGATGACATCTGGTGAGGCTGTTAAGTACAGCAGCTCAATGGCGGCATTCAAACAGATTGTTGCCAACGAAGGTGCCAAGTCTCTCTTCAAGGGTGCAGGTGCTAACATCTTGCGTGCTGTAGCAGGTGCTGGTGTCCTTGCTGGTTACGATAAAATGCAGGTTATATTCTTCGGTAAGAAATATGGATCTGGTGGAGGCTAATTCTGGGGTTTGTGATGATGATGATAAATCCAAGTATTGTGGTATCAGTTGAACTTTCTTTTTGTGGTTTTGTTTGAGAGCTCATTAATAGTGACACCTGTTGGCTTGAGAGGAACAATTATGCTGCAATG